AGTGGAGTTTTCCTTCTTTGCATGAAAAAGGATTTGGCTCAACCCAGAGAGGTGGCCAGACCTGTGACAGATGACAGGCAGCAGAGGATCAGCCCCTGTGATTTCAGGTCTGATCGCAGTTGTTTGCAATTCTCCTAAACACTCATGGAAGACACTTTATGTGTTAAAACTTGCCTCAAGCCTTTGATATCTTTGGCCTTTCAAAAAACCTCTCTTTTAAATTTCGATACTCCCTAAGAAGACAGATGGTATTTTTTGATTGAATAGATAGAGATTTCATGTCTAAACACATTTCTTGGTTTAATTTTGTTGGACTAGTTAACTGCTCTCTGTATGTTCTATGCTGCTTAATCTTTTCTTCTAATTTGGTTTTGAATGATACTATCAAAAGGTTACAAAGAATCAAATATGCAGAAATCCCCCTGGAAAACATAAGTAATGTCCTGCTAGTGTCTCCCTTTCTACCCAAATGTACCTACAGTCCCACCTACAGCTACACTTCCAAGCCAAAAATTGCCCCTGATACCTTCTGATTGGAATAAATGTTTGAGTCCAAGTGTCCTGAATAACCAGGTAAAGTAGGGAAGCTGTGAAAAAATTTCAAAGCCTTTGCCTCTGGAGAGGGTGAGAAAGAGCCCTCCAAGTACTGATGCTGTGCCTGCCACACGCTAGGTGCAGTGCATCTCTCTTGGATGCAGTCTCATGAAACAACAGCTGAAATACTAGAACTGGTGTGCTGTTTTCTTCTTCTTCCATTACCTGAGTAAGTCATCTGGAAACAGGGCAAATGATACATTTTCAACAAAATAAGGAAATCCCTCTGAGCAGTTCTCATTTGCAGCACAACCATAAAACCCCTGGCAAAACCCCAACCCATTCCTGTACCAATTCAGCACACAGCATTGCTAGAATGGTCAGTGTCAACAGTGAAAGAGCTGGTGCAGGGACAGAAGAGACAGAAGACAGAGGCTGCTGTGTTCTTGGTGCTGCAGCTCAGACAGAAGATGAAATCATGGTAGTTCAACATTTGGTGAAGACTTAAGTACTGATTTTCTGGCTTTCTGTTTATGCTGGAATAAAACCTTGGGGGAAAAAAAATGTTTGTATGAAATTTTGGTTGTTAGGAATGTGTATGTGTGTGTTTGGCCCTAACTATTTAGCAAAACCTTCAAACCCAAGAAATACAACTACCTGCTTTTGCAGAGGTGTAGGAGAACATAGCTACAATCTTTGCTTGGTGGTGAGATGGTTCTAGCAGTGTATTTGTAAGGGCTTATTTTTACTGTAATGGTCAGAGAATGAGTTTGAATGTCTTATAAAACAGGCTCATGGTACAGGAAAGAAAACAACAGGACATATTTTTTACCTTGGCCATATTGTTTCTGCCTTCAGCAAGTGCCGTTACTTAGCTTATTCAGTATTTAAAGCTTGTTTTCTGTGCATAGTACAGACCTAAGAGACATGACTGAAACGGAATGTGGAGCATCAGACATTTATTTGGGGAGGTGGAAAATACATCTGGTTATTGTGGTTTCAGATTTTGGCTTGGGTCAGGAACAAATTTTTTAAATTTTCAAAGTATTTTGGTATACTGATCCTTGTGACATTCTTGTGCTTATTTCAGACACTGAGGATAAAGGCAGAAAGAAATATTTCCAAACAGATTCTATACTTAGTCTGGATGAAGTCAAAAGCCAGATTTCATACAGGGATATCAAGCATTTGGCACTTTAGATGATGATAATTACTAGAAGGGTGATTTTCTTTGGTGGTATTCTGAATGTCCCAGTTCTTGGCTGCCAGACTTGTAGGTTGAGAAGCTGCCTGCTGATCCATATCGTCTGAGATCTGAGTCCATTTAGTGAATCTCAAATTGAGCATCCAAAAGCAGAAACACTCTGACTCATAATCACTGTGAGAGATCTTGGCCTAACCATACCAATTAAGAACAGTAGGTCCCTAGCAGAAAAGAAATCCTGACAGTGTGTTTCCAGTGACAGCCATGGTATTATTGGTCACTTACATTTATTTATCAAAGATAGGCACTTGTTTCACTTTGGAGATGTATATTAACATCACTGTGACTTTGGGTACCTTGCGTGTCTGTATGTATTTGGGGCCTATAAGGATGCTGGGAAGGGACTCTTCCTTAGGGACTGTAGTGGTAGGACAAGGGGTAATGGCTTTAAACTTAAACAGGCGAAGTTTAGATTAGATATAAGGAATAAGTTCTTTACAGTGAGGGTGGTGAGGCACTGGAATGGGTTGCCCAAGGAAGTTGTGAATGCTCCAACCCTGGCAGTGTTCAAGGCCAGGTTGGACAGAGCCTTGGGCGACATAGTTTAGTGTGTGGTGTCCCTGCTCGTGGCAGGGGGGTTGGAACTAGGTGATCTTAAGGTCCTTTCCAACCCAAACCATTCTGTGAGTCTGTAATTCTGTGTTCATATTTTAGACTAATGTTTGATGGTATGTCATTCAAAGGTCTCATTAAAGTCTTGGTCTAATAAGATTAAGACTTTGCTGAAACACAACATATATGGGGTGCTAAAATATTTACACTAATATTCTGCTACACTGCTACACAGCAGAATATTAGTGTAAAAGTGCTGTTGCTGCTAATAGACTTCAACTTCAATATACTGTCACCTGGAAGTTCTAGTCTATGAGTTTTAAAGAGGCTTTTTTTGATAAAACTATAATGTGTTGTAAAAGAGAAATGTGAACATTTTGGAGAAGGGTGCAGTGCTATACATAATTTATTGGGCACTGTTTGTACAGTCAATTGTTGAGTTATAAATAAAATACAGCCTTAAAACAAAGGTGAAAGGGTAAAACTGTGGGCAGTTATTTCCTCTGTATTACTATTAAAAAAAAAGTAAAAAAAAAAAGTTTCCAAGTTTGTTCAGTGACATTTTGGTTTAGTTATTGATATTCACAGTGTTGTGCCTATTTTTGGATGTATCGCATTGAAGACTTTCTTCTCTGCCATGCACAGTGCCTTTTCCTCCAAGCAAATCTTATGCAGGCTGTGGGACTGTTCTTGAAGTTGACTGAACTGCCAAGGCACAGCCAAGGGGAAACCACAGGGAGACAAATAAGCCTCTGCATACTGAATTTCCAGGTCCAAGAGCTACTGAAGAACAAACAGCTTGACTTGTCTCATTGACATAAGGTCCCTTGGTGTCTTGTTCCAGTTCAGCACCTACCATCACTGTAGTTTCCCCCATCCCACCTGAAGCTCAGCTTCCATTTCTTTTATGTAGAGGGCACTGAGGATTGGTACAGGGACCAAGGGACCAGCTCCACAGCCTGCCCCAGACAGATGCTTTCTGCCGACAGAGAAATCCCTTGAACTGGAGAAATGCTGAACCCATTTAAGATGATTAAAAATGAGTTTAGTGGATTTAAGAGTACAGTCTGTATACTCTTCGTAATAATTTATTATAGGTCTTTGCATTGGTGCTCAGAATGAGGTGAGAAAGAGATGTCTTCTTAGAACCTCTTGAGCAGGCTTTCTATCCATGGTGGAGGTATTTCCTGAATGTGAGTAGGAAGAGCACAGGCAGGCCTGATGAAACAACACAAGTGAAATGTGTCATTTTATTATAGGTCACGGGCTAAGCATTCCTTGCAGGTACTGTAGAGGAGTAGGAAGTGCTTGGTTTGAAATCTCTCCATTCTCCTACAAGTGGTGCTGATGCAGAACTCCAGTACAGAGCAAAATCATTCTGACTGCTGAAGAGGAAAGACATGACCAGTTTGAACTTAGGAGTGAAACATTTCCTAGAACTGAGCTTGAATAAATTCTGGAACAGTTGAACAGGAAATAAGCTAATAATGGGATTTTACAATATGCATTTCCCATATAAGGCATTGAAATGTAGCACGGGTTGGTTTGCTGATCTTCTGGCTATTTTCATGTAAATTAGGCTTCGTTGTGATTGTGAGGACTTTGCTCCATTCCAGGCTGAAGTGTTTCACCTCCTTGCTGTGATTGGTGGTCCCTGGATGGACCATTTCTACACCAGGCCAGGGAAGAGACTAGTTAACAATTCTTCCTTGCTGCCTTTTGTTTGTGTCGGGGAGCTATTTCCTTTAGTCCTTGAGAGTGATGCATAGGAAGGGGAAGAGAGGTGGGGAGCGCCCATCTCAGTGTGGTTCATGCTTCTGAAAATAAGTTCCCCCAAATCTGATGTGGGGAAAGGAAGCCCGGGCTCCACGGAGCCTGCTGTCTCCCTCAATAAACAAAGGACTGGATTTGGGCAGTGTGCCCGAAGTGTTGGTGCAGGGTGTGTTCCCATCCTTACTGCTCTGCCTGGCCTTTTAAGGGTATGTGACCGTATGCTGGAGACCACAGTAAGGTGTGTAATTCAGCAATGATTAATGAGCACAAGGCTCTTCTGCAGCTTCAGTGTTTCTGTAGCATTGGTCAAATTCTCTTCTCACAAGTAGCACTAAGATTTTCAGAGTTTGGCCTATTCTGCACTGTGAGTGCAGTATCTTGCCAGCTCTTATGCTGCATTAATTTAGAGCCATCTACCTTTCCAAATGCGCTCTGTATCGTGGAACAGGTTTTGCTTGTAAATGCGAGGCCAGATGTTCAGAAGAGGAGAGCTCCCGTTTAGGCATCTAGCAATTACTTCTGTGACACATACCGATTGCAGCTGCAAACCCGAAATCTGTCTGCTTGGACAGTAGAATACTCGGGCTGGCTAGTTTGTGCAGTGCTATAAGAAGTGGCCTATATGCATATAATTCAGGAGTTCTTTCAAAATAGAATGCACTGAATCACGATCTCGCTTAGTTTTAAAACACAGCTTGTGCCTAACTAGTTATTTTGATTTCTTGCCAAGCAGGGGCTCATTTTCCAGTTACAACTAACATTTTCCTTTTCTATTTCTGCAAAATCTGTTAATGAATGCTAAATGAATCAATGAAGGTCCACTGGCTAGATAAGAAGTATGTCTGATTTATTAATAAATGTTTCTTTTTTTTCCCAGTGACATATTTGATGCCATGTTCCCCGTCACACACATCGCAGGAGAAACAGTCATACAACAGGGTAATTCTTCCTCTCGTTTTTTTCCTTATATGTTTGCTAAGGTTGTACAATTCACATCTCTCCATATGACGTTTCACCCTCTTTGCTTAACGGGAAGAATAACCATATTCTGAAAGCATCCAAGTGTGCAGCTATATCATTAGTTCGTGGATGCAGGTCTTTTGCTACATGTGCAGAGGTCTCCTACAAAACCACACTGCTAGGTCTCTGCTACAGTTAAATGTAGATAAATAGAACTTCAAATTAAAATGTTCATTTGTTAACTGAAGATAGTCAGGAAGTAAACCACAGCTCAGAATGCATAAGGATGGCACGGGCTAGCTGACAGTAATTAGAGGTGGAAAATATTTTAGGGTTGTTGGCAATATTCAACACCTCATTTTGCTGTATCGTAGTTATCGCACTTGGCAACTTACCTGCATGCCTGCAGCATGTTGTGGAGGACTTCATTACCCTCAGGCTATATTAAAGCCTCTTGTGTGTTTACAGTGAATGAAGTGTTGAATCAATCGAGAGAGATAAATTAATGCAATTGAAAGATACTAATAGGAAGAAATTGTAGTGATGTTTTGATATATGAAGGCAAATAGGCAAGGATGTTTCTCTCTGTAAGTAATCTGGTGTGCAAATATGTACAGGATTAAATATGGAGACAGGAAATTATTGAATAGTTTAGCAGACCTTCAGGAAACAATTACCTTCTGTATTCTGCTTCCAGGTGATGAAGGAGACAACTTCTATGTGATTGACCAAGGCGAGGTGGATGTAAGTGAACTCTTACAGCGTAATACTTATTTTGAAGGTTCAGAATAAAATTGTATGCTTGGGAACACAGCTTGGTCTAGCCATGTGCTGTGGTTTTGTCTTCTTTCTTCTTGAAATAGATTTCACAGGATTGATTTCATTACTTTGCTTTCGTTAAGTCATTTATGCATAATCTTATAATTGGCGTGTTTTACATCCTAGCTTATTTGTCCATTCCAAGCAGGAAAATATGGTATCAAACCCAAGCAAATGACATTATCTTCAGAACCTTAACCACACCTGGAGGTGTGCAGTCTTTGGCAGAGCAGGCCACCATGCTGGAATGCACCCGAGGGTTCAGATCAACCATAAGGAAAATATTTTCTTTAATCAGTTAGCTTAGCTCATATGTTGTTTGTTTTTTTCCCAAATTGAGATACAGCCTCAGGCAGTGAGTTTCATCCTATAAACCTTCATTTGCTTTTAAAATTAGGTCCAAATATATGAACAATGCAGCATATTAATAGAGCAAGGATTATTGTAAGTGTAAAGTGATCTGTTAGACCACAAAATGTTTACAGGAGTATGCAGTGGTTTCATCAGCAGCTCTTTGAAAAGAAGGTTCTTTCAGAAATAGCCTTCCAAAAATCTATTCACTTCTTTATCATTTTTATCCCATGTGAAACTTTTGCTGCAAGTTCCTAATTTGACTGACTTTTCTACACACATCTTAACATATCCACAGTTGTTCGATAGGACAGGCTTGCTCATTAGCAACGTTGCTCTTCAGATGCCCAGATGAATTTCGTTTGGCATATTTAAAGAAGAAAGTGATTTATTTTAAATCCGGACAGGAGGCATACAGTTATTTTAGTGAAAGTTATTTTTTTTAGCAGTCTGTTTGTGTCAGGAGACCATCTAATTGGTATTGTTGGGAACTGAGAAACCTCACATGCTGCCTCTGCCTCTGGAAGTTGCTTCTCAGGAAATCCGTCTGACTCACTGTTCCTATCAGGCATACCTCTCAATAGCAAACGTTGCCACATCCACAGGGCCAGAAAATAAGAGCAATATTTATAGAACAGTGCTAAAATTTAGTTTTAAAATAATTGTTTAGGGCCTGATACTGAGCTTAATGAGTTCACTGGCTTTGGATCAGACCCACAAACATATGTTGAAGTTATAGATTAATCCTCTTTAAAAATAATTTGTCCTCGCTTGAAACCTTTAGGAAAGCTTTCTTCAGCAATTGGCTCTGAGGTAGTGGGGGGACTGGATGACATCAGAAAACAGTCTGCAAAACACTTGTGATTAATTGCAACAAATATAATCTTCCATATGCATGTATTGATCTTGCAAAGCAGTGACAAAATGCAGCAAATAAAGATCTGTGGCCTCTTCAGCATTGTTCTGCTTGTAAAACCATTGCACAAGGTGGTTTGTGCGTTTTCTGTAACTGATGGTTGCCACTAATGGCCAAGGTGGTCATGGCTTGTCAGATTTTGAGGAGGACTTGTTTAGAGCACCAGTTCCTGTGTTCTCTTGTCAGTAAGATGGCATCATAGTTCTCTTCCCAGGTATACCCTGGCATCTGCTCAGAAACACCTTTACTGAATTATGTGAGTTGTACTTCAGAGGTTCTCCATGATTTTATGGAATGTTGAAATCCTTTCATAAATAATCTTGACCATAAATGGCCCAAGAAGAGACAGATAATTTTTTATTGGTGTTTTTTTGAGATCATGAAAGTCTTTTGCAGAATAATCTTCTATTTCCCAGAACAATTCAGGAATCTGTGAGGCTTCTGAGATAGGATCTGGTGTGAATTTTAAAAACTGCCACAGTGACTAAATGACATCAGTGCTACTGCATTGCAATTCCATGTTGGCTCTTAAGCTGTATAGATGTTTTAAAATCTTATCCCAGACCCCTGATTTGAGAAGTTAAGCACCAGTCCTTCTTTAAGCAGTTGCACATTTGCAATGAGCAATTCTCTTGGCTTCAGTGGAACTCACTGTTTTGCTAGGCGAAGAGCGTAGTGCACAGCTTTGTTTTAAGGTATTAGAGTTGAAGGCAGAACATTGGGGTTTTTTTTGTATTCCAAGTAGTTTTCTGACATGACCTGTGGGACAAATGCATCCTAACAAGGCTTAAGAGATGTCATTTGGACTGAGCTTATTCCAGGGCCAACCAAAGCTCCTGACCCTGTAAGTCTTGCAAAACTCTTCTGTGACCAGCTCTCATGCTGTCCCACTTCAGCATCCCAGTTGCTTCATCCTGCTGCACCTTACCTCTCTTCTCATCATCTCCTCAGCTAGGTGCTCTCTTCTTCCTAAGGTTTTCCCACATCTTCAGTCAAAACACATGCTGAATTCCTTTGAAGATATTGTGGAAGGCACCAGAAATGTCTGCTCATCCAGGACCAATTTGCAGCTACACCCAGGTATCTGCAGAAGTTACCTACATTAACGGCCTTTGCTGGGAAGCTACAGCGAGGAGAGCCCATTTTCCCCCCACAGAGTATATTCTACACCAGGGCAGTTAATGCAGGGTAATCTGCTCCTGTAAAGGCAGCAGCTCTCAGACCCCATAGGTGTGCACCACTACACTGTGTCTAGTGCTCCCAAGAAAAGAGTTCTTCCATTTTCTGGGCAGGAGTGCTAAAATCCTTATTGTCTGAAGAAAATCCAGACTGCTAGTAAGTGAGCTGCAGTTCATTTAAGCCTTGCCAGATACTTTTTTGGCATGCTTCCACCCTTCCTCAAGAAAAAAAGCGACTTGGAGAGTAGACAATTGACCCTGAGACTTAAAGCCTCAAGCCATTTTCTGCCTACTTCAGCTAGTCTTGGCATATGCATGGAGACTCTTAACCCCTGGCCAGGCTATCTGCCTTCATCATTTCCCTGATCTTCACAGGAGTGGTAGGTATTATGGGACTGGTGGATTCAAGGAGCAATGTACTCTGAATACATCATGACTGATAAGCACCCAGGTTTTCCATACACATGCAAAGATACATGTAAAGGATGTTGCCACCATAAAATTCCCAACCCCTGGAATAAAGTAATGGCAAAACTGAAGAAAAAAATAATAATATAATCTATCAACCAAGCAACAAAACCAAACAGAAACCACCAATGAAACCAGAATAATAATGTGTGGTGTTTTGAGTTTAAAAAAATGCAGTTTTTAAAAGTAATTTACTATTTTGGCATAGGCACCCCAAAGAGTAAGTAAGGGCATTCTATTATTTTCTCTTAAAAATAACCTTAGTCAAATTAGAGTACAATAAAACATTTTAAAATACAATATTTTATCCTCAACTCTTACACTTTCTTAGGGTATAAATAAGACTCATTAGCATAGAATAAACTATCTGTTCATTTTCTTCTTGGTGTTACTGTGGACATCCAAGAAGACTGTGGACAAAGGGAGAAGAGCATGAATTTTCATACATAAAAGAAAGATTTAGAAATCAATAAGAGGTAGGTCTTGGAGAACCTGGCTTTTCCTCTCTTACTATATACTACAAACCAGGTGTACTTTGACCAAAGCTGGCACTGGATGGGAAAGGACATTACAGCATTATCAGTCACAGTCTTCCTCATTAGCACCTCAGGGTTGATAAGAATTGTTAACCCATGACCTGTTCTTGCAGATGGGTGAAGTTTATACTAGGTAGATGGTGGCCTGAGGTTTGAAGTCTTAGAGGTCAATTGTTTACCGGAAGCTTTTCTGCTCAGACAAATGTGAATGTATGCCAAAAAGTAGCTGGCAGAGCTTAAATTATAGTTTCCAGTAAAGATGTTGAAAGTACCTGCTAAAGTATGTCTTGCAAAAATCTCTAATCCATATTTCTAAATATAAAAATGACTTCCTGTTTATTATTTTAATCTTACAACCTCACATTTTTTACTTTAAAAAGCACCGTCAGCTACCCTTTTAAAACAGATGTAGGTATTTTTTTTAGACTCAACAACTTGCTATTCTATTTAATGTCACAGCAACTTTCTCTACAGTCATTCTCAGGTTTTCTTCTTGTAAAACAACAGCAGCCAAACTATAGTATGGTGAAAATCAATAAGAAAACTTTTCAGTATTTTCTCTAAATAGGTTCTGTATTTACTGTGTAAATCTGTATGTGGAGCTATACTTGAATATTGTGGACAATAGATAAGATTATCTTTTGATTGTAGGTTAAATCTTCTTGAAGCCTTTATTCATATCTACAAACTGTCTAATTTGTGTATACAAAGATGAAAATTAAATGGTGGTTTATATGACAATCCTGTTGGATTTTAAAACTAGCTATATTTTATGGTTATATTTCATAGATAGCTTTTGGTTTAAATTCTCCCAGCATTAATGATCTTTCTAATTTCAGAAGGATGCTTTTTGAAATTTGAAACAGGACTTTTTAAAGTTTGGAAGTTTTCAGCTTGAATTTTCAAGGATTCTCAAGGCAGTCTCCAAGTTCATATATTTATATTTAAGAAAAGCAAATTCATCTTACAAATAAAGCACTGGCTTTATTTGAGAAAACTACCCACATATAAATACCCTTCATGTCTCAGGCTTGCTTATTTTTCCAAGAATAAATAAACCTCATCATCCTTTTAGGATAACAAATATTAAGGCTTGACAAGAGACAAAGTACAAATTATTACAAACAGATCCGAGGGAGGGAATTTAAGATCTAAAAGTTGCAATGCCTGGAACAAATTAGATTGTCCACATAGATCACAAAGTGGCAGCAAAAAACCCAAACAGCCCGAATGCTTAAAGTTAACTTGAAATCGGCAATACAAAATCAGAGGTAAACTCACTCCAGTGAAGCTCGGAGATAGATGTTCATATCATACCTTCAAAGTAAAGTGGATATATTACTGTTCCTGGTAAGGTTACTTTCTACTTCTCTAGACAACACCAAGATGAGCAAGGCCAAGAGGCATTCCTGTTGCATTGAGCATTGTGTGACTCATTGCATTTTCTCTCCCAGTTAGTGCCTATGTATATCGCAGCCCATGAAGAAAGGAACTGCTAATGTTCACAGGAGATTTTTCCCATTTACCTCCCCCCAAAATAATGAAATGAACCAAGTCATGTGATTTTCAAGCCTGGAAAAATTGCAGGGCTCGTACTACATGCTAGAAAACAATAGAAATCTGAAGTACTTTTGATCTGTGGAAAGTGGGTGGTCCTCATGGCTTGGTCATATTTGGGCATCTGCAGTTCTACATTCCTCTTCAGCTGCAAGAAAGAAATAGGTTCCAGCTCTTACAGAGCTGTGATCGGCAGGTTAAGTAACAATTAGGAATAGTTCACTTATGTACTCACCACTTTGCTGAGAGTTCACAAATGCCTAAAACCGCCTGAGCCAAAACCTCAGCCCAGCATTTTCTAGGGTAAAGAAGGAGATCATCTGAGCTGCTGCCATATAACATTGGCTTTCATAAGCTGTTCTGAGCCTAAAATAGCTTTACTTCCCACACCTTACAAACAGAGCTACTTTCCTTTCTACTTCTTTTTATAAAACCTGTTTTAAAGGGTTTCATAGTGGAGCTGAACTCTGTTAAAGGGCAGAATGGCTTTTTAATGTGCCTTCAATGCACTTTAACTTCATAATGAAGACAAAAGTCGACTTAGGCCTTTTCAGAGAATGAAGTGCAATGGTTTTCCCCCTAGAAAACAACACTTGATCTCAAGATGTTTTCTCTTTTGGAGATTGATATTGGAAATGGCATTTTTATTGGGGGAGTGAATGCTGGGCCCAAAGACTGTCAGATCAGTGATTTGGTTTCACCTCTGAGTCCTTTAAACCTGACACCCTTAGGGTGGAGGAACGACTGTTTATATAAACTGTTTACAGGAGAGATGTCAAACATGTTTTGGGGAGTCTAGTCAAGTACGACAGCAAAATTGAAGAAGTCTTAGAGCAGTTAAGAAGTTTGTAATGACTGTGCAACAGTAAATGTCCATCCTTCACTTACTTTGCCTTGAGATTTAGCAGCATAATGACCCTCTCTGGCCTGCAGTCTTATCCTGAATACCGCTTTAAAAGAAATGTCACCATATTGCTTAAAAAAATGCTTGTTGAAATAATTTATTTCCCACTTATAATTCAGACCCTTCTGCAATAACAAAACCTGTGCTTTCCAAGCAAAAAGGATATAGAAACACATGTATTTTTGGTGTGCTGAAAAAGAGTCAAGGATGCAATGTCAGTTGACATTCAGGATGTGGTCCAAAACTTACCTGATTTATTAGATTTTCCACATCACCCCCTGAGGACAGGAATTACTGTACCGCAGCAAACCCTGAGTCCATCCAGTGAAATCCCTACAGAAGGGGCTATCCCTGCTTTCAAATAGGACAAATCTGGACAATTTTTCAATGGATTAACTGAGTTTTAAAATTTTCATACCTTGTCACTATGTTACAAGCCTTTCAGAATCCAGATTTTATTCATCCTGCTTGTCTCACAGAAATAGATCCAGGAGCCACAGTATTACCTACTTTTTTCACCAGGAAAGTTCTTGGGTTTGCCTGGCTTTTTTGAAAGTTCTTTTTTTACTTTCATTTTTTTCATCATGAGGAGAATCAAAAGCAGATTCAGTGTTCTGTGGGATCTTCTTTCTGTGGTGAGTGTGAAAGTTTGAAGGGAAAATGCCATTGTTACTCTCTTGTGTGGTATTCTCCAATGTGACATTCATTCTGTCGTGGTGAAGAAATGAAGCTATAGCTTTTGTGGCTGGAGCTCTTTCTTATCAGTCTGCTAGCACCTGCTTGTTTGGGATTATTTTTACCCTTAATTGTAGCCCCTTGATCCCCAGATGCTCCAGGAACACCAAGAGCCACAACACTGCCTGGAGTTCAGCAGTGATGCTAATACTGCTTCTTTTCAGCTGATGCCTAAGAGGTCTCTTGATCAGCTGAACTGCTCCCTGGCCTCATTCAGCTCCTACTGAACCAGCATTTCACTGACCCCAGTAGAAGCTGGATGAGATCTTAATTGAATATTGCTAAGATAAATTGGGATTGATTCCAGCTGTGGTTTGTAATACACCTTTTCATCATAAAATGGAGATAGAAGTAAAGTTAATACTGACAGTTTGTTGAATTTTGACCCCAGTTCATTTATTTTGGTCACTGTCTTTTCTCATGCCCATCTTGAACACAGCTCTAATTCATGTATTTTTAAGAAGTGCTAGTCTGTTACTCAGTAACTGGTAGTAGGTTTCTGCTTAGGATGAGAATACCTGTGTATTTTCCTCATAGTATCTTTCTTCATAGAGCTTTCAAACAAATTAAAGTCATTCTGGTTGATTTCTGCTGTTACTGGTCTGTAACAGATTGGGATATACTCTTCACTGGGTAAATGCACACAGGTCTTCCTACCTTCTGAACTCACAGACACATTAACAGAATGAAAAGGGTTTATTGTGTAGGTTTATAGCAGCAAGCCTACAAGCAAACTGCAGAATACACACAATCCATACCAGTCTTTGAATACACTATTATGGCTCATGAGCTGCAGTGTCCATGAATAGTGAGCAAAATGCAGCCCAGTGGAAGGCACCTGCATGAGTCGCCCTTTCTCCAATGAAGGTTTTACACAGCACTGAAGTGTAGAATTTTTTCTCAAATTAGACATCATCCTGGAAAGATACTTGTGATAGAGGTATCGATCCAATCTGTGTTTCAGGAGGCTATGTTGTCTATATAGGCTGTGAGTCAGGCACTGCTTCATAAGTTCTATAGAGCTGATGTTAAAGACATAGGATAATTCTATATATAGCTTCTCAAGTCCAAAACATTTTGTAGTTTTCACTAAGGTAGAAAGAGATCTCAGTCACTGTATTTAAATTATTATTGGAGGCTTAGGGAAGAAAAAAATCTTCCTTTTCAGAAGATGTTTCCCTGTTTTGACTGTTTCTCATTTCATGGCCATGGTGCTTTTCAGCAAACCTCGTTAAACGTATCAACAAATCTCCTTCCTTTCAAGTTTGACAGTGTTAATAAAAAGCCAAAGTTGTGACAGTTCTGTATGCTGGCTGTCTGAGCCTTGAACACAAGAGGGAAAACATGATGCCAGTTAACCATGGGAGCTGAAAACTCAGAGAGTAAATACAGTCACTGTACCGAAGCGAGACAACTTGAAATTCTGTCCACAAAGCAGGTTGTTGCCCTCTTTGGGGACTAACTGCAGAAACTGTTACACTCTTGTTTTCATTCTGTGTCTCCAGCATTGGTGATTAGAAAGGAAATTACTAATTGCTTTTTAGGTAACTGGTAGTAGGAGGAAAACTGCAAGTCTGCAAACTTGTCTTGTGCTGTCGTAGGTTTATGTCAACGGAGAGTGGGTCACCAGCATCGGAGAAGGAGGCAGCTTTGGGGAACTGGCATTGATCTATGGAACACCCCGGGCTGCCACCGTCAAGGCCAAGACAGATCTCAAGCTCTGGGGAATCGACAGAGACAGCTACAGGCGCATTTTAATGGTAAGTTTATGGAGAAAGGCTTGTTTATGGAGTTGATATTTTTTACTTTCTTTTCTAGCGCCAGCACTTCTGTTCTGTGTTCAGAGTACATTGATGATACAAGGCTGTGCAGTGTGTGCTCCTACATAAAAGAGAGAGGACACAACAATAACAACTGAGTAACTAAATTAAGTGAACTGAAGGAAAAGGGGACAAGATTCAGCAGAAAGATGCTGAGTCAGAAATGCAATTGAATAGCATTATTTGTAACTATTATACATGAATGAAAACCTCAGGAGGCCCCCGTTACCCACTGAAGCTATGCAAATCTTCTTATCATGAACCTCAAAATGTTTTTCAGCACTACCCCTTGCCTTTGAAGTCTTTTTCTGAACTTGTATTATACTCTTCAAGGCAGGCAACACAAGGTAGATCCAGCTCCTCTATAAAAAAGTCTCAGTTGGATTGTGCCCTCCATCTTCATTAGCCAGTACACGCCACATGTATCATAGGATAGTAGCTGCTAATGATTCATTGCTCTGCTCCTTTCAAACTCCCTCATCTCTGCAGCAAAGCTCAACAGACCTGAGCACCTGGGGTGTGTGCTGGGTTATGGATTTGTTGTTGGTTCTTGAGTCGTGAGTTTATAATGGAAACTTTGTCAGATAATTAACTTTAGAAATGACATAACTTTTTAAATTAGTTTGTTTCCAGTGTCCATGTGCATATCTTCCTTCTCCATAAAATATTCCTTTCTTTTTGATAATTAACAGACATAACTCTATGTGAAGCTTCTTTCTCAATAGGACTTGTCTCCAAAAGCTGCATTGATTCATTCTGATATGAAGGAAATTACACTGCTCTGAGAAAAATAAAGAAGTGTGCGTTTTGAAAGCATATATATTTCTAGTGGATATCATGGATAACAGAAAAAATAGCAAAATAATTGAGTAGATTTTACTCTTCAATGATTAGTTCTTAAGCAATAGAGTGTAAGAGTGATCTTTATTTATGCTGTGTGATGACTGTTGGATGTCTGTATGAAGCATTGCTAGTTTTCACTCTATATTTCATAGGTTGAATTCTGTATCACATAAATGAACACCACACTGGCATGTAGGAGAGTATGTCTGATGGATTTTACTCCATCCTGAAATATTCAGGGTGATCACTCCAAGGCAAAATAGAGGAATAACGATGAGAAGTGTACTGTCTTCTCTCTTGTGGATAAGCAGGATGAATAGTTTTGAATATTTCCCAGTGCGGGGAAGCAGGCAGTAGTAACTGAGACCTTTCTGCAAGGTATTTCTAAAACAGAGGGTATGAGAATTTCCTAACAGACTTAAGAGACATGCTCAGCTTATTCATCCCATGTCCTGCACAGATGCAGTGGAGGGGTGTCTGGAATAACTAGTGTGATGAATGAACCTGCATGCTGCAAGGAAGAAACCAAGGTATAAAAGAGAAGGAATGTAGGAGCAATAAATGTTGGGACAAGCCACATACTGCTTGTTTTTTTAAGCATAGCTTTTTACAGCTGCCTGTAACCTTGCAACTAAAGAATTGAAGGACAGATTCACAGTCTTTGTAGCCTAGAGGTAATTTCAGTTTTAAGCGTTGATGAAAATAGTGGCACCTAACATCATCCAACCTTGGGAGCTTTCAGGTTTGGTCATGTGTCCATTACCATCTGGTAGCAGCCTTCAGAAGATAAGTATTTGATGCAGACACAGTATTTTACTGAAAGGGCTTAGAGTCCCAAGTGGAAAAGACTGTGTTTTTACTGCTAGCTTTAGCTGTACATACAACTTGAATATTATGGATATACTTCTCCTTCATTCTAGTGTTATGCTAAGTGCTTTTCAAGTTAATTTGCATATTCCCTGAACCAGTGACTGCTATATCTTACCTAGCAAGCTCAGTTCCTGCGATTGGTGAGACCTTTAACATGGAGGTGTTTTCTCTCCCTCTTGTGTTTTTTTACAGTTGAGGTCATTAAAAATTGGTGGTCTAGTGCATTACATTAGCTACCCAGACAGTGTAATTGTAGCACTCCTCATACTTAGATAGGAAATATTTCAGGTAGCATAGTGAATTAATAGCTTCAGGTATAGAAAACGTCTAATTTTAAGTGCTGTCCACGGTAAATGCAATTTACCCATCCAGACTACATGGATTCTGTCATCTTTTCATTTTTTGTGGGTGCAGCATGGATAATTTCTTTGCTGTAGGTGAAATGAGACACCTGCCTTTGTGCATTCGTGTGAGGGCAGGTTACAGTGTCTCTCTGCACATTTCCTCAAGCCTAAGAATTAATTACATCATGTTTCAGTGGCTGCATTTCATACTTGAAGCTAACTCCACCATTACATGGCTAGTTTTGCTGTACTCAGTTTCAAGATGTAGTAGCTGCCTTTCAAGTCACCGAAACATAGTTACCTGACATTTAGCCGCTAACCTTGTGCTTCTAGGAAGTTGCTAGATATTCTGGATGTAGAAAGGTTTCTGCCTTTGAATAAGAGATATTAGTGTTTAGGATATCTTTTGGCATATATCATTTAAGATGGTTTTAAAACTTGAGAGTGAGTGGGGTTTTCTTTTTCATTGTCTGTTTGCAAATACTTTTGTCCAAGGGATCAGTGACCTTTTTCTTCCAAAGATACGGGGTTTTTTCTGTAGTCAGATAAAGCCCCTCCACAACCCAAGGTAGTTTTTTCTTTCATGTGCATAACTTCCTGGCTATGACCAGCCCCATGCTTTTCTCAGTCTAGTGTTGAAATTTTATGCACATTGTAAATATTTATTTGCAAATCATGCCTTCAGATCCACACTTGCCAGAAAGATTTTATCCTGTCATGAGACACTTGACTCTCTACCTTATTTCTCCTTGAAGGCTCTGTTTTGGTTCTTTGCTTTGCGTTTAGTAATTTCTAGTTTTCATTTCTGCTTAGTGCCATTTTCCCCACTTATGTGTCTCATCCTGGCTGGTTTATGGTATGAATAAAATGCTTCTCGGGAGGTTGGGAGTTTGGGTTCTTTTTTTGGATGGACAAAGCCTGATGCAAAAAGTTCCTGCTGGCTTTTAGTTACACTTGTCATCCATTTATTATTTAGTCTGTCCCAAAGGAAGTTTGTTAAAACAGATATATTTCTTTATATTTCATTGTCTCAGCTTAGAAACCCTGATGGCTTGAAGGTCACATTCAAGTTTCTTTTAGCAGCTATGATGATTGTAAATGTTGGAATAGTTTCTTTTGTCAGGATTTGCAATGAAATTGCTTGGCTTTCACTGGAGTCCTTGACAAATTATTATACCATGAAATTCATTGTACTAGATAGATTACAAAAACCCACTTAAACATGTTCCCTCCCCAAGCACACTCACAAATTATCTGTCCATCTGTGTGTTCCATTTATTTCATACAATTACCTGTGCTGAGTTGCATACTTTTCACTCTGTTGCAGATTTTTGTATGTGTATATTCTCTGTGTGCACACACACACTTATGTATATATTCTATATTTATTTACTTATATTCCTCTGGGAGAGAGGCAAAGGAATTTTTGCCATAGGATTCTCATGTAATTTAGTTGGTGAAATGTTGCTGCTCTCTTCTTTGCAGTTGGGATTCAAGAGCATCACGGAATGGGGAACATCCCAGGGTAGTACAATATTTGTATTCTAAATATAGCAAATGCCACAAATACCAGGGCAGTAAATGTCTGTATCCCAACATCAGATTGATCCCCCTGACAATTCAGTTCCCAGACTGAGGAAATTTGAAGTATTAATTTCTTTTAATTTCTTCTTTAAGAAGGCTTGATTCAGAATGATTTAAGTATCCTCTAGTTCCCATGGTCGAGGATACCTGGCTCTGAGAGCAAAGTTGCATGGGATACAGTACTTTTTGCCTATTTGGTAAACTTCTTTGCAGAAAGTGAGTTGTAATACTGGGATGTAAGTCACGACAAATCAAGTTAGTTGGTTCCTAATGTTATGCCTCATTTTCTTTATGTTGTTGACTTTGTTTTACCATCTTTTCACAGCTTTGAACCTGAGAACAGTATTTTTTTAAAATTGAAACTAAGCAGGGTCGGGCTCAGTTAGTACTTGGATGGGAGACTGCCTGGGAATCCCGGGTGCTGTAGGCTTTCAAGAAACTGTTGTGGTTTAAGTCCAGCCGGTAACTCAGAATCACGCTGCTGCTCGCTCACTCCCCACTTTCTTCCTCCCCCCTGCTCCTGGAGGGATGGGAAGGAGAATCGGAGGAATGTAACTCCCACGGGTTGAGATAACAGCACTCCAGTAACTAAGGTATAATACAAACCACTACTGCTACCACCAGTGATAATAATGATAAGGGAAATAACAAGGGGAGAGGACACAAACCGCTCACCACCCGCCGACCGATACCCAGCCTGACCTGAGCAGCGATCTGGGCCTTCCGGGTGACTCACCCCAGTTTCTATACTGGTCCTGACGTGCTGTGGTATGGAATAGCCCGTTGGCCAGTTTGGGTCAGGTGTCCTGGCTCTGCTTCCTTCCGGCCTTCCCTCCTCCCTGGCAGAGCATGAGACTGAGAAAGTCCTTGGTCAGAGCAAACATTACTGAGCAACAACTAAAAACATTGGTGTTATCAGCGTTGTTCCCAGACTGAAAGTCAAAAACACAGCTCTGCACCAGCTACTAAGAAGGAGAAAAAATGACTGCTGTAGCTGAACCCAGGACACAAGTGTCTTTTTCTATTCAAATAAAGTCAAGTCAGAAGGACTTCATGTTGCCATAAAACGCAGGTTGCATGGTGGCCAAAACATAAAGCCAGTCTGAAGCCTGCAATCCATCCAACATCTGTGCGATACAGCACCAGGATCTTGTGGGCTCTTCTGTCTTCCTGGTCAGTGTGCATGGTGACTCTTCCATGCTCCTGTAAGAATGTACACTGAAAGAATCATTCAGTATCAGGTTTATGCAGGGATTAAACGGGGCTGGGGCAGTCCAGGAGGCCATTCTGGCACCTCCT